CGACGAGGGCAGCGTCAACCGAGGACCAGCAGACGGCGCGGGCCAAGCGACGAGGGCAGCGTCAACCGAGGACCAGCAGACGGCGCGGGCCAAGCGACGAGGGCAGCGTCAACCGAGCACCAGCAGACGGCGCGGGCCAAGCGACGAGGGCAGCGCCAACCGATGCAATCTGACATCGCGCAGACGAGCAAGTCGGGGCAATCTACGGTGACAGTCAGGGTGACGGGATGAGGGAGGAGCAGTCGCGCAGGACGATGGCACGCCGACTCAAAGCATGCCGAGGCGGGGGCGTAGGCTCATAGGCGCCGATACCAGGCAGGGCTAGCACAGGGGGCGAATCTATCTCCTTGCCGCGAGTACGGTGCATGTGCTTGACCGGAAAAGCGCCTTGCATCGGCCCGCAGGGGGGTGCAGCTGAGTCGAGGTGGACGACCGCCGTGTTGATTGCGGTTCTAGTAGGCTACGTTGAGGCCTGGCGGTCGCTGCAGGGGTGTTCAGGGGAGCAGCAGCACATGCAGGGGTCAGCGGGGGCGTGGTCGACCTAAGGACCAAGGCGGGATCGCGACGAGAGGATGACTGGCTCACCGGCGATGGCCTGCGGGGGCAAAGAGTGAGTATGGTGGCGAGCCAGGATGGCCGTTGAACCGGGGCAGGTGGTGCCGGCGTGGTGCCGGCGTCGACGGGAAGAGGTGGGCGTTGAGGCGGGCAAAGGGGAAGAGTCACGTTGGCGATGGCAAGCGTGGTGGTGGACGGCGCTGCGTTGGTCGCGGTGGCTTGCCCGAGGGCAGACGTGTGCCAGTTTCTCTGGCCGGGCGGCTGGATGTTGATGCCATTGTTGCGGTCTTGAGGCGGCGATCGAGGGAAGAGGAGCAAGACGACGGCGACGATGGTGGTGGTGAAGTCGATGGTCGCTGAAGCTTCTTGGAGCGCTCGCTTTGGCCCAGATGTGCGGGCGCGGTGTGGAGCAAAGACGGCTTCGGGCAGCGCCCGCTCAGTTGCCTCGCTGCCCCGTCGCCTCACGTCGTGCCAGATGCGGGGTACTTGGGGGCCCGGCGAAAGTCGCCGTGCCAAGGGCGGGCAGAGGCACCGCCCTAACTGCCAGGCTCGCGGCGGTCCAAGGCCTGACAAAAATCGTCGGGCAAACGGCGGGGTCGCCCGCGACGAAAAACCGTCGGGCCCTCGGCAGGCCCCTTCCCCGATTCTGCCAAAATCGACCCTTGGTTCGGTTCCGACGAGAGCGGACGATAAGGAGCGTGACTCGCCAAGGCCCACCGAGTTGGGCCGCGGCCGCGCTTAGCCTCGGCCAATTTTCAGGCGACTTGCTGGCACGAAGGCTACGGAAGCCTCGGCCCAGCGCACAGGCCAGCGGCGGCGGGCCGGGTGAAGGTCGCCTTGGCCATGGAAGCGGCGGGTGGCAAGCCAGGGGGGTCGGGGTCGGGCCCTCTGCCGCCCTATCTGCCTACCCAACCCGCCCCCTGCCTCTTGACCACCATCAACCTGCATCCTCTCGCCTTGCAGCGCCTACCTCGCCCGCAACACCCGCACATCCTCCAACCGTCAATCACCTTGCCCCCTCGTCTCGACATGCCCGGACTTCGCCTCGCACACAAGGTGGCCGTCATCACTGGCGGCGGCTCGGGCATCGGCCGCGAGAGTGCCATCCTCTTCGCCTCGGAGGGCGCCAACCTGGTGCTGGCCGACATCAACCTCGAGGCGTGCACGCAGACGGCGGAGCTGATCAACGAGCGCTTCAAGGGCGGCGAGCTTCCCGTGCGCGCCGTGGCGCTCCAGTGCGACGTGAGCAAGGAGGCGCAGGTGGCGGCCGTGGTGCAAAAGGCCGTCGACGAGTTTGGCCGGCTGGACGTCATGTTTAACAACGCCGGCATCATGCACGGCGCCGACGACCACGCGCTCAACACCGAGGAGCGCATCTGGGACCTCACCCAGGAGATCAACGTCAAGGGCGTCTGGTGGGGCTGCAAGCACGCCATCCTCGCCATGCGCAACAACCCCACCGACGCCGAAAAGGGCCTCCACGTCGGCGGATCCATCATCAACACGGCCTCGTTTGTCGCCATCATGGGCGCCGCCACGCCCCAGATCGCCTACACCACGTCCAAGGGCGCCGTGCTCGCCATGACGCGCGAGCTCGCCATGGTCCACGCCCGCGAGGGCATCCGCGTCAACTCCCTCTGCCCCGGCCCGCTCAAGACGCCCCTCCTGATGGACTTCCTCAACACGCCCGAAAAGCTCAACCGCCGCCTCAACCACCTGCCCCTCGGCCGCTTTGGCGAGGCCATCGAGCAGGCCCGCGCCGCCCTCTTCCTCGCCTCGGACGAGTCGTCGTACGTCATCGGCCACGACATGCTCGTCGACGGCGGCCTCAGCAAGGCCTACGTCACCGCAGAGGGCGAGCCCGTCCTGCCCCCGCCCTCGAGCCTCGTCTGAGCGGCGCGCCGGCGCGGCGTTGCCCCTCGCATCGTCCACGCTTGTCAGACAGAGATTCCGTTCACGAGTCACGATAATATCACCACGCCGTTGGCATCTATTCCGGCTCTTTCTGGAGCGTCTTCATCGACCGAGCGGCTACACGACGCGACACGGCGGGTAGGTGAGTCTCGGCGGCAACGGCGGGCGGGCGGGCCTAGGAGCGCGAGATGCGCATGTGGATCGACTTGGCGCGGGTGACCTGGTCGTATCCTGGTCGCGCGGCGGGGCAGGAGCACAGAGTGCGTGAGGGGAGAGGAGAGGGTGAGTCTCGGTGCCTGATCGCGGCGGTAGCGTGTTGCGGCCGCTGTCCTGCGTGCGTGCCCACTCACCGAGGGTGCTGAGCGAGATGCCGCGTCCGCTGTCCTTGACGCCGGTCCAGGGCAGGGCGGGCTCGAGGCAGTCGGCGCGGTTGAGGTAGACGGTGCCCGTCTCGAGGGCGTCGGCGAGCGCGTCAAAGGCCTTGAGCGACGCGGCGTCCGACGCGTTGGTCCAGATCGAGGCCGTCTACGAAGGGAGGTGCGGGAAAAAAAGCGAGGCGAGATGGTCCGTGGCGTCAGCTTCCTTCTGGACTTCCGATGAGCATGCCCTGGAGCCCCCGCCGCGCGGCGCCACGTACCAGGCCGTAGTGCGAGTCGTTCATCAGTGCCAGCGCCTCTTCGTCGGACTTGACCTTCATGATGCCGATCACGGGGCCAAAGGTCTGCGGGGGAGGGGCCGGTCAAGGGCCAGTAGGTTAGGGAAGGGGACGGCGAAGTCAGCATGGGGCCGCCGCGGCCGGGTCCCGGGGAGGCAACTTGGACGCACCTCTTCGGTCATGACGTCCATCGTGTGGTCGACGTCGACGAGGACGGTGGGCGCGACGAGCGTGGTTCCGGGCTTGGCCTGCGGGAAGAGGTCGGCGGGGACGAGGTTCCTGGCGCCCTGTTGAAGCGCGGCGTCGACCTGCTTGCGGATGCGCTCGGCGCTGGCGAGGCTGATGACGGGCCCGAGGGTGGTGCCCGGCTGGCTCGGGTCTCCGAGCTTGTACTGCTTGGCGATGCGGACAAACTCGTCGACAAAGGCGTCGTAGACCGACTCGTGGACGTAGATGCGCTCGACGGCGCAGCACGACTGGCCGGCGTTGAACATGGCGCCGTCGACGAGCTGGTCGGCCGTGTAAGGGATGTCGGCGTCGGGGCGGACGTAGGCGGGGTCCTTGCCGCCGAGCTCGAGGCCGACGCCCTTGAATGCGGAGCCGCTGGCGGCGGCCTGGTCGAGGGCCTTGCCGCCGGCGACGGAGCCGGTAAAGGCGAGGAAGCCGACGCGCGGGTCGGCGGCGAGCTTGGCCGTCATGGCGACGTCGAGGTGGACGGCCTGGATGAGGCCCTTGGGCAGTCCGGCGGCCTCGAACGTGGACTGGAAGCGCTCTGCGACGGTGGGGGTCTGGGGCGAGGGCTTGAGGATGACCGAGTTGCCCGAGAGGATCGAGGTGGCGAGGGCGTTGATGGTCGACATGTACGGGTAGTTCCACGGCGAGACGATGGCGACGACGCCGAGGGGCACGCGGCGGATGGCGAGGCGCAGGCCGGGCGTCTCGGTGTCGGTGCGGGGCTGCTCCCTGAGGCAGTCGGGGGCGATCTTGCACAGGTGCCGCGCGCGCTGGAGGGTACCGCCGATCTCGCCGGGACACTGGGCGAGGGGCCGGCCCATGTGCTGCGAGAGCTCGGCGCAGAGTTCATCCTTGTGCGACTCGAACTCGGCCATCCATTTCTTGAAGATGGCGATGCGCGCGTCGAGGGGCGTGGTGGCCCACGACTTTTGTGCGGCGGCGGCGGTGGCGATGACGGCGTCGAGGTCCGAGGCGCTCAGCGTCTGCCGCTCGACGACGGGGCGCTGGTCGAACGGGGCCAGGGTCGTCTGCTTTTGCGACATGGTCCGGGGTGGCGGGGGTGTTTGCGGTGCGTTGATGCGGGGGGGCGGGCAGTGTGGTCGGGGGATGTACGTGCAAAGAGAAGGGGCTGCTGGTGGTGGTGGTGGTGGGAGAAAGGCAAGCCGTGAGGGAGAGCCACCTACGCCTGGCCGGGGATGTGGCAAAGGCGGCGTGGGTGGAGCAGTCTGCCAGGCTGGCTTGGCGCACGGGCAACCCGAACTCCCCTCGAATCTCAATTGGCCCGACAATTTAGCCGCCCGCGCTCGGGCCAGGGCCAGGGCCGGGGTCAGGGTTAGGGCCAGGGCCAGGGTCAGGGCCAGGGCCTTCCGTCGTCATCGATCAGGGGGACTGCACCGACCGCCCCGAACGTACAGCGGCAACAGACAGCACACATCAACGGGCGACGACCGAGCAAAGGGCCAGGGAAATCATCCGCGTATCGTTCATTGCGAGGAGCGTCGAGAGGGGGAGGCGCGGGGGTATGTGCAAGACTTGGAACCGTATGCGAGCGAGTCGGGGCGAGGCGGCGACCATCGACCATCGACGATGGCCGCGAGCGATAGGACTGGGCCAGCTGGACCGACCGCCGGCGACCGCCTACTTGATCCTCCAGGTGAATAGGAACCCCGTAAAGGCGGCCAGGCCGACAAACCAGAAGCCCAGGTGGTAGTTGAACGGCCAGGCGTGGGCGTCGGGTCCGCCCTCGATGCCCTTGGCCCACACCACGCCGCCCAGAATGGGCCCGACAAAGCGGCACGCCGAGCTCGTCGTCTGCGCCAGCCCGTTGGCCAGCGGCGTCAGGTGCGGCGGCGTCGTCGCATTGATCAGCACGCTCACCGCCGTAAACGCGCACACGTTGGCCAGCCACCGCAGCGAGGCAAAGAAGATCATGCCCGCCATCACGTACCCGTCCGTCTCGGGGTGCAGCAGCCCGCGCAGCAGCGGGAACAGCGTGTAGCACGGCAGGTAGATGGACGTACCCAGCCGCAGCATCGCCAGGTGGCTCAGCTTGCCCTGCGGCGGGCCCACCTTGGGGTAAAAGACAAACTGGAACATGAGCTGGCAGCACGCCATGGCAGCAATCAGCTGCGCATAGTGCGACGCCGTCAGTCCCAGCCCGCCAGACGGCTCGGGCGTCACCAGGAACGCCATAAACACCTGGTCAAACGTCGACGAGTGGAACGCCATCAGGCCATAGTGGGCGATGATGACGGCCGGAAGCAGCTTGAACAGCGACGGCGACGGCGGCGGCGGCAGCACCGCGCCAGGGCCGGCCATCGACAGCTTGCTCCGGCGGTCCGGCGTGGCTCCCGCCGACGCACCCGTCGCGCCCGAGCCCTGTCGGAGCATGGCCGTGCC